AAGATAATGCAGATGAACAATCCAATTATCTCCGTTTAGGATGGAGAGCCAGTCTACTGCGTGTGTCGAAGAACAAGGTACAACTTGGAAACTCGAAGTAACGAATATATACGACAAGAACGACAGATTTAAAACAGGTTATTGGAATCAAAAACAAATAGAACAACAACCTGCAATCTCTTCCGCGGCCAGATCGAAACGGACGGCACGGTCGGTAAGTCTGGAGCCCTCAGGCATGTAGTAGCACTGGGAGGAATAGGAAAGGGGTATCCTTGTCCTCCATTGTCGTTGATCTGATCTTCCATCACACAGTAGCAGATTACTCTCCTGCCTGTAATCTGGAAGGACATAATTAACATCGGTTCAACTAACCAGTTCTTACCTGCTGCTCTTTCACTTCAATGGATAGGTTCAGGACAAGGAATCAGTGAATACCCTTCGAGAAACTGAATGAAATATTATGTAAAGTAAAATATCTCAGATTTAAAACGCAACTAGAGCACTCTTCACACGGGGGGCACTACTCAATCCATCTTTACGAAGTATGAAATAATGCTTATAAGAACAAACCTGAATTTTTCAGAATTTGCCTCTTCGTCACAAGTCTGAAGCAAGTCTTTTTCTTTTCGAAACCAAAAAGTATCATTCGAGTCAACGAGTTCATATAACCAAGGTAGAGTGCAAACAGTTTATTGGAAATAAATAAATAGAACAATAGACGCTTCATTCTGTTATCTTTTTACAGCTGAGCCGACTGAGATACTCTTGACAGCATCTTTCCTTCTCTTAGGAGCCTCTATGGCAAAAAATTCGTCAGGTGTTGTTTCAGGTTTGAAATCAGGAGCATCAAAGGAAACGGCAAACATTTCACTGTCGTTGACAGCCTGTAATCAGAAAGAATTACAAAACGAAAGTTATATTACGAACTTACTCCTTTCAACTCATTTCCGTTACCGAAGTGGAAAGTTGATCATGAAACCAGAAGGCCTCCTGTAGTAATTGAATGAACGATAGACATACCAGGCCAGCATCATTCTATGAAAACAGTTGTACGATCATGTACGAATGAAGAGCAGCAACGATCATAGTTCGTCTGCAACAAAGATTGAACGAACGAGTATATACAACAAGAACATTGGAATATCAGCATTGAAAGAACGCAATTAACACAATAACCGATCATCATTGTTTCACAATGAGGACATCTAAACGTTGTAAGGAACAAGTTGGAACTGACTGAGCAAAACAAGGAAAAACATCTAATCCTTGCAATGGAGAAAGGACACGGATGGGTCACGTCAGTAACGTTATGCTTCATAACATTTTAATGAAAAAAACGACAACAATAAGGAAAAATTTACAAAAATAAGCTTAAAAAACTTCAAAACTTCAAAAATTCTCAATTTTTTTAAAAAATTAAATTGGTCCCGACACGATTTCCATGACGAGGGAAAAATTAAAAATTCAAAAAATGTGAAGTCGAGTGTCATAGATTCGCCTCCCGCCTGGGACGTGACCCGTCGGGTCTATTAAACACGTGAAATTTCACGTCCTTATTGACAACCACGACGTACATCGTACGACTTGAGATTCGCTAATTTCAGTAAAATTGAGTTTTATTCAAAATAGACCTTAAATAGAGGGAAAAATTGAAGTTATTCTTCCTCCACAAAAGATAGTACGGATTATTCGCTTCTATAATCACTGAAACTCCTGTAGACTCAAATGCACCTAGTTCTCAGAGAATTATGACAAAAAGAACAATGTTATATTTCAGAAGTGAGAATAGCATTATGAGCAAAATAAAAAACAGTGATCGAATATCAATTAAAGACAGTTATTAGACTTTAGCATCTAGGTCCTTGTTACGAAATAGTAAGAGCAAGATGTCCTTTCGATCATCAAGGAAATGTGCAGTACCAATGAAACAGGATCCATACTCATCGTTCATCGCCCAACTGAGCTATCACGAGAAACTGGGTATGAACTATTGGAATACATAAAAATGAGTGTTGACATACAATACTGGCATGTTCCAGGTGTGCTATGTACGGAGCTTCCGATTTGAGGATGAAAACGATTTCGTTCAGTTCCTTGAGTATTATTACTTATGATATCTAGTTAAGTATACGTGAACAGTAGGTCGTACTAGTCAACCTTTGAGATTCCTATAGCTTTGTTAAAGATATATGAAGGTTCGTTGGTTTCAAGGGAATGATACAATCATCATAAACGAAACAATAAATGAAAGCTCCCACTTGATCTAATTCAGTATGGAAGCCATCAAAATCAAGAAAGTGTAAGCATGAAAAAATTCAAATAAGATGAAAACTGTTTCAAACAATAGTATAATAAGGACCCAGAACAATCATAACATTATTTGTCAAGACCTACAGCACGTGTGACGATTGCGAGAAGGAGCACCTCATATGATAGTTGTAGTTCGAACAGGTACATTCATAAACAACCGGTCAACATTAAAATGCAGAATGAAAAATGAAATCTATCATTGTACTTATGATTAAAACAGTGGCAGAGATAAATAATGAACGAAGAATAGAATCTCTAACCTTAAAGTTGTTTTGCTACTTCAATCTTTCATGAGTTTCCTGACAAAGATATAATAATCACTCTAATCATTGCTCACCAAATACTGATAGGCTCAACCTACGCAATGAACTACAACTTTCATTTTATAAACAAGACATAGATCAATATATAATTGTATTGACTAGAGTTTTGATTTCAAAATATAAGTTTAAGAGTTTGATGTTCTCTCTACTCATCAATCCATTCTGCGAAGAGAAGATGGAGCAAAACAGAATCCACCAGAAATGGAAGAAAACTTTTACAGAAACAACAAGAACTACCGTGAGCATGTATTTATGCGCTTATTATTCCAATTTAAAACTATTTAGTTATTCGGATATGGTTAATAGTTCCGCTGCTTGTAATATTGATGAAACCGTGTCATTGAGAGTTGACATGTTGTCTGATAGGGTGCGACATGTAGTGGTGGATGCCTATAAGTAACTAAATGATATTCATCTGAATGCCTGCCAACTTTTAAAGTGTTAAAGGTGGACTCAATGACATTTTCCATTTCTTCCACTTTCTTACAAACCGGCATATTTCGTCTCCAAACAATCGTCAAAACATCAGCTCCAAGAATTTGCCATCGTTGAGTTAGCTTCTCATCAACATGAACTCGAGCTCTGAAGTATATAAGCCTAACTTGCAGAAGTAAGTCTCTTAACATTTTTGAAAGAAAAGAACGTGAGTGAATGTTCACACTCACATTCGACACATACTATTAGATTCTTGATGACCATTCCAGGAAAGTAACGACAAACCTCATTCTGGCTGGATTAGCTTGATTGTTGTTAATGAAGTTCAGTTGCTGTAGTTGTCTTCTTCGATTTTTATTATCAGTTGCTGTAATGACATTCTGGCTTTCACTAGTAGATTGTTGTTGATCATCTGATTCAGAATCAGATTCATCTGCTTCTCCATCAACTATTTGTAATCGTTGCATAAGGACTAAACATATGAGAATATCTCTTGTATAAATCAAAACCATTGAATATGAATGTAACCATGGCTCATACCACTGTCATGTTTCAAACAAAAACTTCAAATACATAATGTTTTAATTAAAAAAATTATTTATTATCTAATACTTTCGAAATAGAATCAAATGCATAATTAACAAAAACAGTTGAACTTTTAGAGAATTATGATAAAAAAAGGAAAAATGTTCATGTACAAACACACTGAGAGCTTAAGTATTCTACTAGAGGGAGGAAGATGATTCCAACAAGTATGATTGAAAGCTGAAACATTTCGAAAACGACATCCTGTCTTACAAAAGACTCAAATGATGAGATTGAACGACAAGCACAGATACATGTATGTTTCATTGAGCTGATCAGTGTCAGACTCCAAACTTCACAAATTATAACAATGATGAAGAAAAAGAAAAATATGAATGAGTCTATATGTTTGTAACATTTGCAAACATCTTATGTATATTTATATAAATATATTAACAAATATATATAGAATCTAAAAAACTATTACCTCGAATGCAACAGATATCGAATTTGAATTATGAAGATCATTAAGAGCTTTCTTTGTCTAAAGAACTACCAGCGAGACGGAAAGAGGAAAGAAATCAATAACGTGATGATAACAACAATGAGTGTATAGTGGAAAGAGATAGAGAGAGAGAGAGAGAGAGAGAGAGAGAGAGAGAGAGAGAGAGAGAGAGAGAGGCGGAGCAAAGGTTGAATGGACCAAGATCAGTGCCTACTACTCAGAACTGTTCGGGAAATCCAATATGGTCAAGCTCTATCATGATATATATTGATATTCAATCAATTTAAATGATGAAATAATAATTTTCAGTAACAGCTAAGAGTTAGAAACTGTTATTTAATTATGAATATAGTGTGCTATTTAGTGTTTTGATTAGTCGGAAAACTGATAGCAAATGTATCAGTTTATGCCCTATTTGGGATCGTTACATTAAGGGCACTTAAAATATTTTTTTGTTTTCCGTTAGGCTATTCACTGGAGTTGTATGAGATCGAGGTGCTAAATTTAGGGCAGGCCATACGAGGAAGGAGCAAGTTAGTTGAAGCTAATACTGATTGAGAATTTGGGGGGTAACTCGGATGAAAATGGCGACACGTCTTAACAGTCAGGCTAGAGACCAGGATGTCCCCAGAAAGTCGTGTTTTTCCTCACCTCACAGTCAGACACCGGAACTGAGGCTGGAGTTTGAGCGTTAAAGTCTAAAGTTAAAGTAGGAGTTAGAATCGGAGCTTGAGCAGTTGAGATCGGGCTGTTATGTAAAAGCGTTGCTAGCAAGGGATTTTCATAGATAGTTTGTGCCGACTGATATAGCGCCTGCTGAGAGAGCACTAGCTGCTGTAGTAATTGTTGCTGAAGAAGTGAAGGATAAAAATGCTCTGCTTGTTGTTGCTCTCCATACGATGGGAAACCCATGACAGCTCTTAGGTTTTCCATACACTGGGTAAAAATATTATAAATTTGATAATATCATATCACTAACTCTACAAAGATCCTTTGGACTTATTCGCAGAAGTTCTTGAGCGAGTTGAGGTTGTAAAATATCTACAACACTTTCTGGAAGACTCAGCTTAACGGAAACAGGAGTGGTGAGAAGAATTTTTCTCAGAGACGGATCATTCATCAAAGGATTTATATCTGGCAACGTGTGTTGTTGAGGCTAGAAAAATTCGAATAAATACGGTGGGTATCATTGAAGACATACCGGTGGGTAAATAAAACTGTGATCATCGAGAGAGGGTGATGTAGTTGAAGCAGAAGCTGTGCCCGACGTTGAAGCGGAAGTAGGTGCTAGATTGGGAGTTGTAATAGAAGCTGCAAGAAACGATGACATTGAAGGTGGGATGGAAGCCGGAATTCCAGATGAAGTTGACGCTTGTAGGGAAGCTAGGAGAGGAGATTGCATGGGAGTAGAAATGGGAACTGTGTTACAATTTGATATAGGGGTTAGAAAAGGGTTTGGAATGGATGAGGTAATAGATGATGGAATTGATAGCGGCAACGGAGTTAGTAAAGGAGTTAGAGCGGAAGGTGAAATAGAAGGTGATTTAGAAGATGGAACAGGGTTGAAAAAATTTTGAGGAATGGGAGTGGTAACAGACGATCGAATAGATGGCGACATAGCAGTAAGGAGAGAGTTTGGAATGGGAGTAGAACTTGAGGTTGGATTAAAAGATGGCATTGCATTAAAAAAATTATTAGGAATAGAAGTGGTAATAGATGATGGAATTGATGGTGACATTGTAGTTAGAAGAGAAGTTGGAATAGGAGTAGAACTGGATGATTGGTTAGCCGATGGTATTTGAGGTAGGAGAGGGGTTTGGTTAGAGATGGTAATGGAAGACGGAAAAGATGTCTGGATAGGGGATAGAAGAGAAGTTGAAATAGAAGTGGAAGCGGAAGCTGGATCAGAAGGTGAGGTTTGAGCTTGGAGTGGAGTCGAAATGGAAGTAGTCATAGACAAGGGAATAGATGGTGGCATAGGATTCAGAACAGGAGTTGCAATAGAATTAGGAAGAGCGGTAAGAGTAGGAGACGGAATGGAAGCAGATGCGAAGGATGGAGGATATGAAACAGGTATGGTGGTACGAATATCTGCAGATATAGGCCCGGAATCGGGTATTGGAGCTGTTTCTGGGATGAATATTGAAGTTGAAGATGATGTGGACGGAGTCATCAGTTCATTTTCAAAAGTATGAGATCGCAAATCCACATTTTTCTGAACTTGGGTTTGTAACAGCTTCTCAAGATCTGAAAGAAAAAGAATTAGGAAATATTTAAAGAAGTTCAAAAAAAATGAGCCGAGTTTTCAGTTTTTGAGTAATATCTGAATGATCTTCACTCAACTCCACAGTGACAAGTAAGAGGTTCCCGTTTCAGCGCCAAAATCAACCTACATTACTACTGTTGGCTTCGAAAAACTCAAAGGTTTACCATCTGCCTCATATACAACATAGCTATTACCCAAAGAGAGAGCTGCTGTTCAAACCGCAAAATGAAGAAGAAAAGGAATGGAGAAACTAAATTTTCGTGAACACATCTCTAGATAGATATAACGACAGAATTGTGGAAAGAATTTTGCAGGGAATCGAGAGATGGGTTTGACAACCGAAACCAATTTCTGAATAAAATTGGGAAATGAAAAATGAGCCCTCTTGTCCCTACAGTAAGTATCCACAAGATTTTACAAAAAATGCAAACAGCCAGTGTAGAGTACCGGATGCTTCGAAACCGTACTCTCCGATCGCTTCCAAGGGTGTTTATCGGATAACAAAAAACAAATTGATCGGAAACAGGAAAGAAGAGGATTCTGCACAAATTTGAAACAGAGAGGTAAATTCAAAGAATTCTGGACGAAGAATAAATACAAGAGATGGAGGAAAAAAACAAAAGAGGTGACGTAAAAAACTACAATTTTCTCCATTTCAAACTACAGGAAAGGATGCAAACACGTTCATTCGAGAACATTATTTTCATTCTCATAGAAAAGGAGAGCTGGGGACAATGATAAAACATGTAGAGGCGGATCAGCTATGTTACCAAGTCTGTTATGTTATTCCAAGGCTTACGTTTTAACAATATAACATTTCAAATGAGCGGATGTACGAAGAATCTTTATTGTTCGGCTTATAATCTGAGCTTATAGTCTGATCAAGTAACTAGTTGACCATTCGACCTGACTCTAACATTTCTTTTGTCAAAAGAATAGATTTCTACCCAAAAAACTTCATGCTGTGATCAGTAAATTACATTGGAAAACTCTTATACTGTTGCATGAAACAGTAATTGAATTCATCACATATCAAACTGACGCTGATATGCAGATTGTCCAACGCCCACACCGATCTCATGATAATTTTAATTCATTCTGAAGCATGCAAACACTCAAAGCGGTTGTCTCTTAGCTCATTATAGTGGGTATCCTAGATAACCAAACAACATAACCAAAAATAGCGAAGATAAGATTTTGAAAAACATAAATCGCAGATAATCCTGTAACCATGCTACTCAAGAAGGAATTCGGAATATTTTAAAAAGCGATTACGATAATGATTCAATGACCAAAAGTGTGAATCTCATCTATCAAATTCTCAGCACATTTGAAAAGTTTTGAATCTCACAAACTACTAGACCAACTCGCATGAACTTACAGAGAACTTCTACTCTCAAATAATTTCCGAAAATGTTCAAGTAGTTCTCAGATCGATCGCTGATCTGTTATTCTTCCATAACTGGGACAAATATTGAGCCCGAGAAGCAAACAGAATATAGTATTTGGAGAGTGAAAAGTGGGAGAAATCAAAAAAGTCAATAATTCGGGATAAAGAAAGAAGGACTAAAAAGGTTTGTGCTAACCTGCTTGGCTTATTACATGTGCGTAATCGGATGCTATTTGTCTGCCTTCAAATGAAGACTCGCTTTTCTTAGTAGCAGGTGACAGTTGCTCTTCGCTAGCAGTTTCATCTGAATCTGAATCTTCTTCCGATTCTTCTTCTGGTTGCCCTTCACTATCCTCTTCCATCTGTTCTTCAACAGGTGGAGGACGGTACAGACCAGAATGCTTATGACTGGATTTTAGCTTGATGCGTTTCATGTTGCTCCGTCGTCGATTGACAAACCAGCGATTAATCTGGAAATACAGACTTGAACGAATATTATAAGGCATGTCTGAGGATACTAAGTATATAGTCCCTCTATTAATAATTCTAGGTTTTGAAATGTAGAGAGAGGAAGCATGCAGTTTATGTAAGCAGGAACGTTATAGAACACTGTACTATGCCAATGAAATTCTTCGAATTCTAGTTATCTCATATTTCCTTATTTGTAGACATTCATTTGTTATTTTTTGAAAACATGAAAATAATAAGTGCAGTCGTTATCTGCATGACAGTGAATACACCTCTCGATACCTCGCACGCTAACAACGAGAAAATCATTGAGTCTCATTTTCTCGGCATAGCCCAAACAGTGTATCCTGCACTAACTATGATACTATAGTTTCTAGAAGATAATGCTAGTGTTCGAATTAGGATACCAAAACGGAGTCATGAAATGCAAAATAACTCTTTTCCACAAAATTCAAGTTTGAAATGGATAGACAAACTCATATTTTCGTAGAAATAGAAATTTTTCAACGTACCGTAGCCATGGAACATAAAGTCATAACGGACAATTCTTTTTTCTGCTCCCGGGTTGGATAGTAGTTTGCGCTGTTTGTTTTAGCCCACTGAAACAGAAAAAAACTTCAATTCACTGGATATAAAGACTTACGCGAAGGAGACAATCCGACAAATAGTTTCCTCCTTTATAAGACGATGAGGTCTCAGTTTTGGAAGACAACTTCTTCACCGGACTGGCATGTAGCATCTTATGGAATGTACTGGATCCGTAGATCTTTCAATATTATTATGAGAAATACTAATTATAGATTCAACAAACTTTTTTCTTCATCCTACATTGAGTATCGAAACCTTTCAATCCCGCTAGAAAAGCTTCTGGAGATAAAGTAAAGGCAGAACGAATTCGAAATTCATCACTAACCATACTTTCGTGGTAATCAATCTAAAATACGAAGTAGAACAAATTAAATGAAATATTTGGTAATGAAGTTAGAAAAAAAAGTCATGAATAGCTTAATATACAAACAAAGAAACTTCATAGATCACAATAACAATAGAAGAAAGGTTTCGTATATGCTCTCCGTGAAAGCGAAAATGAATACGTGATAAACCTCAAGTTATGTTAATATGAATGTGGAATGATTGATAAGCATATCTAGATTCAATGAAATTTGATTTTTTGTCATATAATTATATATTCTAAGAGAAAAAGAAAAGAATAATTTTTATCTTGAATAGTGAAAAAGGGAATGATGCCAGAAATCACTCATTTATCAACAGAATATTTCAACTCTATGAGGTAAATTGTTTTTTTGTTGAATAAATTGAGATAAGCAGGTGAAATGACCTGCCGAATGATGTTTCAATTTTCGAAATGACATTCAATTCCGAAATCTTTGTAGGTATAAAGAATCTTGTAAATGTTTTTTTTCTTCTTCTCAACACATGGAAATAATGCAATCAAAGAGAACAACCGCTCACTGTCTGTCAGTAAATTAAATGAGCGCTCAAGCGGGTTTGACATATGAGCTGAATGTTTTTATGTAAATGAGCAGAAGACAAAAAAAGTAGAAAAGGGAAATTCATAGCCGTCAGGAGTATTTCAAATGAAATAGGACCATAGAGCGAAACAAAGGCTGATTTAGTAGATGTACTCCGAACTAATGCATTTGAATATCATTAAAAAACATTAAAAAAAAAGCTTGAGAAAAATCTATTTTGGACTAACGCATAATAACAGATTATTAACTACAGAATTTGGATGAAGCTTATGTAATTTCAAACAAATAATATCCGGACATCGTCTTGCATTGATGAAACTTTCAAAAGTGTTGTAGAATGTCATCTCATCATCATCATCTGAATGTTAGTCAGCAAACGGTCGTTCTAAAGTTCACTGAGTTAGGAGACAATAGTTCGTCACAATCACATGTTTCTAAACTCTGTAGTTGTGAGAACTTATATAACAAGGCTATGTGAATATGTTATACTGATTGCTAGTTGGATGAGAGGAGGGGCAGAGTAGATTTATGATATAACAGAGAACACCTCGTTGCCATTTAATTTTTTTAAAACTCTTTTTTTTTTTGGTTTTTTTTCCATTAAAAAAATGATTTAAAAAACAATCCATTAGAAACTGAATACATCAACAGATCGTTGAGAGTGAAGCAAGGAAGCTATGGAAAAAATAATAATTCGATAGACTTCAACAGATGATTTCTCCAATAAAAGTTTTCAGAACACCAAGATTGAAATGCATCCAACAAGAAAGCGGTGATGAACCAGCTGTGTCTCAATCATAGCGTTCTAAGAAAAAAAAGTACTGAAATGGAAGACATAAGTAGGAACTAAAAAAGAAGAAGGTGATAGAAAGATACAGATAGGTAACGTTTGAAAGAAAAAGAGACTGACTGAGAAAACGAGAGAGAGTATTCTGATAGATCATCGTAAAGGAGTGACTCCTTCTCTTCTGCGTTTTGGCAACAAGCGTGAGAATGGAAAAGAGATGGAATGGAAAGGAGAGGGGGGACGAAATGAGAAGACAAACGAATAGAACGGAAAGAAATGATATCAAATGCTATTCTTATGGTATATAGTTGACACAATTGAAGAACGTTGATCATTCTTTGTAATAAGAATTCATTCGAACATTTACTGAACGACAACAGCTCCAATGAATGTAACTGAAAGATACAGGCAGACATTCAAATGAGAAACGAAAAAGCTGCGCGAAACATGTGAATCATGTGATCGTTTTCAACGACAACAACGACATCACACTAACGAGCATGGAGCCATGCTTCACGGATTGTCATCAATTCTGACTTCTCGTCTTCACCTCGTTTCAGCTTTTTGCCCATTCTCATCCCTCTCTAACTCTTCATTTGCTCCGACATCTCAGTTTTTGTCTTTCTTCTCCTTTTTTGATTTTTTTCTCACTCTTATGACTGCCGTCCACACCTTTCATTACTCTGCTCTTCTACATGTTTGTTGCATCAACTTAAAGCCAGTGATCTTTCGCCATCAATTCAACAAACCAGCTGAGCCGTCAAATGATACTTGCCATTTCACTATTTCTTTTTTTTAGCTGATGCGTTCGTCATTCAAAAGACTGCTTCTCGCCCTGTTTCTCTATCTGTTCTTCTTCCAAAAATCTTTCCCTCTCTCTCTCTCTTTGTCTGGCAACTCCTCTCTCTTCATTCGCTTTTTTACCTCTTTGTCTCTCTCTCAACCGTTCAGCAACGTTAATCGTTCAGAAGTACGACATGTTCACAGAAGATAAGATATTAAGGAAGAAATGAGAGTGGAACAAACCAAATATAACATAATGGAAAAGGAAGCTAAACTGTTCTCTTCTATCTCTCACTCTCTCTCCCTCATCTGCCGAATAGGTTTCATCAATCGAATAGTACATTTTGCTCTTTTTATTGAAATTTCCATCCATGATGCTTTTCTTTTTAGTTTTTTTTCCTTCTCGCTAAAGCTTCATTGCCTTATTCTCTTATACTTCTGCCTGTGCACGCGATAATGGCATTACATTCGAAGTAGAAGAGAAGCATCCAAACGAAGGTTTATCAATTCCAGCGAAAAAGCGGCCAACTGAGTCATCTAGTTCTTAGCATTCAATAGAACTAATTAATATTTTTCATGAAAGTCCGGAAAAAAGATGACATCAAAGTAGATAATCGTTAAAATAAAATAAAAAGAACAGCCGTTCAAGAACCTAGGGAAGATTGAAAAATGAAAATGATTAGATTCTCATGGACTAACAACAAGCAATGAAGGTGAGGAGGTTAACTCATTCAACGAACATAGTCATGTATTCATATGACTCATCTAGAATTTAGATGTTTATAATATAATATAAAAGAAAGTAAGTTAGAAGGAAGTAAAAACAGTGATTGTACTAAGATGCGTCATAGCTGCTGTTTCAACATAGCAAACCTCCTGTGGGTAGAAAGGGGGGCATGAGAGGAGGGAGAGGGGAGGGGGTAATCATACTACAAAGTGCAAACATTTTTATTAATGTCAAATTATAGATAAATGAATGAAAATAACAAAATTTCTATAAGTCATATTTGAAAATGAGGATAATGAGAGTAATGAAATGAGAAAAAAATAAATTAGAAATGATCTATAGATCTATCTATCTATCTATCTATATATATAATGATACAATGATATTCTGCTTAAAAATTTATATAAAAGAAGAAATGAGTATGAGACTCAAAAAGGCGGCTGAAACAAAAAGAAGGCGGATGGCTGAAGCCAAACGAAGTCTTATATGCATAATGGAAGGATAGAAACAAGTATTAGACATGAATATTATGAGAGAGTACGAGAGAGGTAAAGCTATGTCGTACTGGATGACGAAAGATACTCAGCTTTAACAATAAGCTCCATTGCAACTCTCAGACTTCATATGAGACGAAGAGATGAAAAGAGAAATACGATGAGTATCACAACTCTCAAAATGCAAATTAATAGAGGAATGTGTGAAAAAAAAGGAGATGAAGAGATTCAGACACGGAATGAGTATAAGATTGTTATACAAAAACTATTATTAACTATATGTATATATATTTATATGTTATATAGTGTTGATGAGAGAGATGCAGAGAGAAATTAGTTTGCTTTATAGACAAAATAGAAATAGAAAGGAATAGAGTGAGAAAATCAACGAAAATTGCTTAAGAAACCTTCGGTGCTTACATGTCGACCCTCAGGCTATGAACGAATAAAAAAATTTTTGAGTAGAAAAAGGATTCGTTGAAGCTTTTGCTCTCTTAAAAGCCTTATAGTACATATATACAACATTGAAAGATGAACAAACATCATCTCAAACGAGTCCTCATATGGAAAGTTTCATCAGCTCTATGTAGTTCGTAGTATGTATGAATGATTTCATATCTCTGATAACATTTTTTTTTCTTCTCTATTTTGACAACTTAACACATGAACTCATTAGTTCTGTCAAGTTGAGAGAGAGACACAGAGAGAGAGGGAGAGTAAGAGAGAAACAGAGAGTCAAAAGAGCATAAGAACTAGACAGAGAGATAAGGAACTAGAAAAGTGGAAGAGATGAGAGAATGGAACAAAAACTTAAGAAAACTAAGCCAATCTTCTTTCTTTTTTGAAAATCGAATGCATTCATACTTTCATTAAGAAAATAGAAAAGGGGAATGAAGTGAGTGAGAACGAAAATCTGAAACTTCATCCTTCATGGTCATTGAAGAGGCTTCAAAGACGATCAGTGAGCACATTCGGCCCAGACACAACCGTTCATCAGCATTGCATCCAAACAAAATGAAAAATGACCAATTGGCTTGTTATCCACGTGTTAGTTGAAAGATACAATTTGAAATAATGAAAAATGTTCGTTGCCATTGGTAACAAATCTATGTTAATAAAGCAATAAATGCTATTCGAAATATAGATGCCGCATTCCGTTAGTCTCTCTCTCTCTCTCTTTCTGTCTCTCTTTTTCCCTCTGTATACATCACCATCTCTCTGTATCTCTTTTCTCACTTTCCATATGAAGCTGGAAGAATAAAGATTTTCAGGATTATATGTACATATAATGAAATGTTTGTGAAAGGGCACACAGTAGTATTATCCGTTTCTATCTCATTTCATTCATTCTTCTCAGTCTCATTTAACTTTATCTTTTTCTCTCTCTCTCTCTTTGTCTCTCTCTCTCTCTCTCTTTGCTCTTTTACTACTATTTTCTCGGATGTGCTTTCTGATTTCTATTGGAAAAGATATAGTCTTATAACTTAATGAATCTATGATTGTAGCCTTTTCACATCTTATCTTGGTCAAAGCTCAATTGAATTGCTCATACGTCCCAAATTCATTTTTGCTTCATTTCACACACTATGCAGCTTGAATCTTATTTTAATATTCAATGAAATATACAATTTAACGATAAAATAATAATGTTTATATATGAAATATTCCATAATTTTAATTGAGAGGAACCCGATAGTAGCATATACGGGAACAGAGAGAGAGAGAGAGATAGACAAGACAGATATCAAAAGGTTAAAATAAAAGTAAAAACATATACGTTTTCATGATAATGGCTTTTACAATAAAGACAACATAATGATACCCGAGCAAGGTGTCTGAGTCATTAACAACATGTTGTTTGATGACAATAAGAGAAGAAGTTCTGATGATTGAGAATAGAACAGGCAAAATCTGAAGAAGGAGGCCAGCATAGAAGAAGATGCATAAGGAGGTTTAAGAAGGAGAACGAACAGAATACTAAGATTCATAAGAAATTATAATAACAAAATATAATATAATTTCATAAATGTACATACATAGAAGAGGAATGTTTGAATGTTCTTGTTATTCCTGAAACACATTTTATTTCTTTTTTTTTTTCGTTTCTCTTTCTTTTTTGTAAAAAAAAAAACTTTTTTTCCTTTTTTTGTTTGACTGCTTTGAGAGAAATTCAAAAAGGTATCGCTTCTAACGACAGGAACCTCCAATCGAACCCAATAATGATGGGGAAATAGTCATATCCGTAGCAATATATAAGCCGTGTTCGATTATTCTGAAACTTGGGTTGATGATGTTGATTGGCAGACCGCCAAGTCCTCCAGATGGAATATTCAATACAATTCCCTTTCCAAGAGCATCATTTGCTAACTGAAAATGAAATGAAAATTAAGAAAAGTATGAGAGAGTAAGATATATACTTTTTGAAGTAATTCTTTGCCCAAATTGCCAAGATTATCAAGAGCATCTTGGGGTAATCCAAGAGTTCCTGTTCTGTCAGTCAATTTGAGTTGAGTTATTTCAGCTGAGCCACTAATGCGATTTCCATTAACTTGAGCAACAACTACAACAGTAGCAGCAATTGTAATAGTTCCAACCTTTAAATAAGAATTTTAATTAGAAAGATTAAATTCTAATTTGCATACTCTTGTGTTAGTTCCATCAATGTAGATGTCAGCATCAGCCAAAAGCTCAAGAGTAGCTGTTCCTATAGAGATGAGAATGATTAGATAATGATACTTCAATGTTAATCGTTTGTACCTCCTTTAGCTTGTGAAAGAATAACAGATGGAGCACGTACAGTTCGTACTTGGATAGCAATCTTTTTGTCTGGATATTTCTCACGAACAGTTGGAAGGATGTCTCCGAAGCAAATTCCTAAATCAGCTAATCCACCATCATCTTGACGACGTTTGCGTTTGTCGTGTGGATGACGACGAATGCGAAGAGTTTGAGCAGCGGACAGAATGACTTTACGACGTAATCTACGGCTTTCTTCTTCTTCATCCAACTGAAATGGGGGAGAGAGTTTTTTTTGAATTAATAGAAGCTTTTACTTCGACTTCAGTGGCTTCAAGAGAATCTTCATCATCGCTACATGTTGTCTTAAGAAGAGATCCAATCTTTGGAGTGTCGGGTCCAATACGGAAGGTAAGGAAAGCCTTTCTAAATTTAATGATGTGAGAATTGTTAAGAGAAATGATGTCAAACCTGTGCATCCAGTAGAACAAGGAGTTGATGGTATAATCAGTGACAATGAACTCAGCCATATGGTTATCGTATGCTCCTGGGAACTGAGTAGGGAATGGACCGAATGGTGTTCCTCCTTGTCCGTTAACACTGAATTCTCCGGTCAAATCAACAGTGAAGTCATTTGATGTGGCATAAGCATTCAATAGTTGAACACCCAAGTATAAATCGTTCAATTTGCTCTGAAATTGTTTTGTTTAGTTTTGTCTTATCATGTCTGTTACCATATCCAAATGGGCTGCAAGTTGGCGGATGAAGCTGACTGGGTCTTCAGTGCCAGCAGATCCGACACCTGGACAACGAGCGCATAGATTTGGTGCTGGAACCAAGGCTGGGGCTGGGGCAGTGAGAACCTGAAGTAACGGAACTGGGTTAATGACTTCGTATTGCAACATACCGCTGGAGGAGGTGGGTAACGAGGACCAGCACCCAATTGAGGTTGAGGTTGGTAGACTGGTTGTTGGTATTGTGAAGTGTGTCCTCGGACAACACGGGTATGTGGAAGAACAGTTTGGATTGCGGAATGTACAATTTGCTTTTGAACAGCTTGTCGCTTAGCACGTGAGTGTGGAACATAAACCTCAAAATTCAACTATAAGTGGGCTGCCGTAAGTAAAAACGTACAACTGGATGAGGAGCCTGTGCGGCAGAACGGTACGATCGTACAAGGGATGAAGTAGATGCACGGAGTGGTGTGAGTTGTTGAATGTGAACTGGTCCCTGGAAAAGATATTTTGTTGATATATACGTTTTTTTGATTTCTTACTTGGTTGGTACTGTAGACTCCATGAGCATAAACCCGCTTTTGTGGACCCAAGTATGCTCCAGTTGGAATTTGTGGAGCTGGTGCGGCACCGTTATTTGGAACATATTGAGGAAGAGCTTGTTGAGGAGCTTGAGCAGGAAGAGATTGAGGTGGGGGAATAGATTGTTGAGAAACAGATGGAATAACAACTGGTCTAGCTGAGCATTGAGTTTGGCAATATTGTGGGGAAGGTTGTGGGGCACCACCGCCGAGGCCTAAAGCGCCTCCGAACATGGAAAGCATTTGAGAAACTCCGATTGTTTGTGGTAAGCCAGAAAGACGGCTGTTCAGCTTTTCATTAACAATTGAAGGAATTTGACCACAAACTTGGCCAGGAATCATTTTTCTGACCATTCCAGAAATTTGACTCTGTAATGATATGATATTCAATGTCATGTATGAAGATTATCATACCCGGAATTGGCTGTTGACGATATCTCCGATGAGACCACCGTTCTCGATGTAAGCATCAGCATATCCAATTTGGACATTGCAAGAGTTGACACGTACGTATGGTCCGTTTGGTCCACGTTCAATAGCCAAGTCAACAGTGATCGTTGCCTTAAGAGGACATGATTACGAAAAAAACTTTTCAAATATTTAAATGTATAATTGTTTCTCATTTAAAATGAGATTAAGCATGAATGATCGCAATCTTACTTGATGAATATTCAATTGAACAATTCCAGTTAAAGCAATTGGAAGTAGAACGACGATTTGTCCACCAAGATTACCAGTAACTCCAATATCAACATTTTCTACGCGAAGGATAAGTCTATTAGGAGCAGCTGGATATAAAGCAACACGTTGAGGACAACGATATCTTGAGACATATAAATTATAAATTTGCACGCAGCCTTGAACCTGTAAATATCATGAAAGGTGTTTAGTCATCAATGTGGTTTAGCTGTTACCTGAGGAATGCATTGAGAGATAGGTGGAATACGGGCTTTTTTGATTTCCGAATTCAACAAGTCTCCTACTAATGTGCTAGCGTATTGGAATGAACGTGAATTCAAGCGGGCACGAATTCCGGGATATCCACGTTGACTTCCAGCTAATAAAGCTGGATTGAAATCACAACCAGCCGGTCCACATCTATAATTGAGACAAAAACCATTTTTTTATATTTATTGTCTTAAGACAAACGTTTGAATGGCTCCACCGCCTGGATTGAACCCTACAGGTACAGCATGTCCGACACCTGGCGCATAACCACCTTGATAACCGCCACCAGCATTAACAGCTAATATACTACCACATAATAATAAATATATCTAAAATGAAAGATACCCATAATTGAAATCGAAATATAAACAACTTACAGCTATTCCAGCCATATTTAGAGATTCGTTGATGAGGCGAACAGCCTGAAATATTTCGAACGTTACTTTCCAAGAACGATGAATGATTGAACACGACAATGGCATTGACGGCATAAGAGGGAAAAGCTTGTTTCAACAGTTCAAAGATATAGACAAGAACAATAAAATTTCATTTGATATATCATTCAAATGATAATGAAGCAACCGTTCCTTGCAAATGCATCAACACCTTAATGATAGAAGATTTACGTGGATATTCTCACGTGACGTCACGTGAAAACTTCTTTTACTTCTACATGAGAACGATTGAAAGAAAACTGATTTTGAATAAGAAAAGACGAAACTTGAAACGATTAGGCAGAAGCTTCTAAATGGGGGCGTCTAAAGAGATTCTGAATACAGTTTTAATTATTTTTTTTTGTTTTAGAACGTAGAAAAAAAAAATTTTTGAAAAAGCTGAAACAAGATTTTAATTAAATTAACTAAAAAACCGCTATGTTGTTATGAATTTTTCGTTTTTTTTGTCTTCTTTTCGTTATTTCTGTTCAATTGAATGGAAAGAAAAATAAAAATATAATAATAAAATCAGCAGGTTGCTTTAAGTAAAACAGGACATTCTCATATGAAAAGCTTAAGCTACTACTGTTTCATTGGCGATAGATGACGAACTGGATTTATGAAGAGAGAGAGATGAAGAGAATGAAAGAGAGACAGAAACAAAGACAATATAAAAGATAGAGAGAATAAGAGAATATATGAGATGCTTATATGATGACAAGCTATCATATATGTATACATGCTTCTGCTTCTTCTGTTTTCGGAATGCCATGAAGAAGCATCAGCCCCGCATCAGATGATGGGACGATTTCTGATGACAGTCAACCACTGTGCAGCATCAATTCTGTCCCACCTCTCTCTCTCTCTCTCTCTTTCTCTCTCTCTCTTTCTCTCTCTCTTTACCTCTCTCTCTCTCTATTTTTCTTCACAGTGCGATGTTGCTGTTTCTGATTTAACATCTTCTTCTTACGCAACCGACACATGAAAACACGTTTGAATCTCATAAGGCGGTCTTCCCTTCTCTCTCTTTTCCTCTCTCTCTCCTTCTCGCTTTTCACCTACATAGCCAAATAAGCAGAGTAAAAGGCAGGATATACATTGAAAATGACAAGAAGTTGAAGTACAAAACAAGACAAACGTCGTTTTTGAGTGAAAGTTATTTGATTTAAAAAGAAACAAATTTGAATGTTTTGATTTGATACAGATGAACACTGTCATTTGCAATTTCAAATGGAAAAACGATGATGATGGAAGTGGAATGGAGATCGGAGAAAAAAAAAAAGAATTTGAAAATCAGCTTATCCATTTGAACATCACCATATATGGTACATGTGTGTGAGTGTACATGCAAGCTTGGAGATGGAATGAGATACATAGCCCACCTCTCTATTTGGGATTATTCATCAAAATACACTTTTTTATGAAGCAAAAATAGATGGTGAAATTGAGAGTGATAAATCTGATAAAACTGCTTTTGGTTGTGATGGCTTAAAACCTGCTTGAAATTGCTTTTTTTCAAAATGGCACTCAAAGATCACAATCAGGAAATATTTGATGACCAAACATACAAAAATTATATTTGAAATTAATCAAGTGAGTTCAGGAATGATAAAGCTGCAACGACATCAATCATGGAAGAGAGACCGGATATTGAAATTTGAAAACAACATGTACTGGAAGTGATGAAAAGGGGTTAATGAAAGGTAACAACTTTCAGATGATGTTACTGTTATAGTTTGTCTAGTTAGGAAGAAGCTGGTATGTGGCAACAACGGAGGAAGCGAAGGTATGAGAGAGACTGGTGGAAGACTGGTGTGAAGTAAACGAAGGGCAGAATAGTGATGGGTTGGTGATAGCCTCTCAGACCAAACGTTCTCACAAAAACGAACGGTTGATTAGAAGGTGAGAAGAAGAAGCTCAACCGTTGTCGAAACGAGAAGAAGCTGATAATGAACTAGGATAGGAATTTCTCCTTCGAAAAGACAAGGTCAAAATGACAACAAAATCAAGCTCTTTATATTCGTTTTCCAATAGATCTATCTGATAATTTGACGTCATAACTAGCCGTATATATTGCCTCAAGGACAGTATTGAAAAGATAAATTGATGTAAAGCATAAGAATGTCACAAAATGACTCAAATAGTCCATTCTCTCTAAGAAGGGGAATGCCCTCAAGACATCAGAGCTCAAGATCATGACTGTACATGATTAGAATGAACAAAATTTATTTTTGTGACTTTTCTTTTTGTAATTTACAACAAACAGCAAATATGAAGCTAAGGTGGTAATGATGTGAAGTAGCAAAGTCTGAAGAGTTTTAACTTTTTTTTTCTTTTCTTTGACATTTTGTAAACTGAAAGCTTGATGATCCGTTGGGTGATCAAGAGATTTCACTCTCCCTCTCATTCTCCTTTTATGCTTAATAGCACCAAGTCCTTTATATATGACGAAAAAAAATGAAGAAATACTCTTTGTTGGCAGCCTACGAGATGAGAAAAAGCTTTCACTTGTTGTCCAGTTTCGCTTTCTGTTGAAAATCTGGAAAATGGTCAAGGTTATCCCACCTTCAGCACAAGGCGTGTATGTACATGTTTAGTCATTGAAATTTCCTTACAAAACGAACGGAAGAAGCGAATTGACGAAATATCTAAGATAAAGAAGAAGAAGAAGAAGAAGATGCTGTTGTGAATGGAAATGAAAAAAAAAAGAAGAAAAAAGGAAAAAGCTGAGGAAATGAGATCATCAGTTTGACAGTTACGCAATTGAAATTCCTTGTTTCTTTGAATGAATCAGTCGCATAACATCAAAAAACTAGAATATCTTGATTATAAAATGATTGTTTTGGCATGATAATCAAGAAAATCATATAATCTATACGAATGTTTAAAAAGGTTCCATTTGTTTGCTAAAACAACATACATATCTCTTGTAAGCCATCTCCCACCTCTCTCTTTACATCACCTCCTTTGGTTGTCTTCTCCTGTTCTGCATAGATGGCTAATGCCATTCCTTACCCCCCAGGCTGATATGTTGTGAATTTGAAACAAAAACTTGAAGAAACTTGTTTTTTTGACCAAAATTGATGACAACACAAATGAAAATAACAAAAATCAGTCTTTTTTTAAGGAAATACATAATTCAGAAATAAGAATGATGATCATGTTACACGTGATAGTTCATTCGAACTTGACGTGAGATGCGAATGAGATGAGAACAGAACAAAACAGAAATAAAAACAATTTCATTTTCAATTGCAATAGAATCAGTTGAGCGGCTGTATATGAAATCTCGTTTATTTAAATTTTGATGAGAAGCATAGTTATCAGCTTCTCCTCTCATTATCTCTCTCACTCTGTCTTCTATTCTCTGAAAGATCTGTTTTCTGCTTTTGCTAAGATTACGATCTTCCTATTGTCTTATATCTGCTAATAGTCCTCAAGGCAATTGTTTTAACGAACGAAAGTCTTGGGTTTCAGCTATACAAACCGGAACGTGTGAGAACTACATAGTGCTGTCATATTTCATAATTATATGATATAGTTAAAGATGCGAAATAACTGTATGAGAAGTTTTCAGTTAATTAATGATGAAAATCTGGCTGTCAATGTAGTACATTCAATTGAAAGGGGAAAAGGAGAGAGATGAAATGAGAGTTACATGTTGTAGTACAAGGAACAGGATAGAAATGAGCAAAGTGAAGAAAGGCTCATGAATTCATGGAAATATGGTTAAATGGATGTTACCTTGAAAGAGAAAAGGTCTTTAAAGTACATGGAGATCATTTAGGAACGAATTATACGTGAAGATGATTGAAAGAGGTGAGAATGAAAGATATGATGTGAACAAGAGGGGGGAAGAAGGGGAGTGGATATAGTCAACCAGTTGCTTAGCAGTATAATAGTAAGATAGTATATAAAGAATAAAATATTTAAAAAAACATGTAATAGTAAGTGAGAAGCATGAAGAGAGTAATATGAAGAGAGAGAGAGAGAGTGTTAAGAGAGAGAGAGAGAGAATCATTTAGACATTGAAAGAGCAATCTTCGTTCTTATAAAACCTTTCGTGTGGGCGAGAGAGACAAGAGTTCGTTAGATTAATGCCATAATTGTAATTCATTGAGTTGAAGGAGGAAGAAGAAGAAGAAGAAGAAGAAAAACGACAAATCTATATATAAGAAAAGGAAGGAAGGAAGGAAGAAAAAAAACATTTTTAGGATCAACACGATGGTGGGAGACAAGAAATAAAAGTTGGATAGAGAGGCATCTAGTTGATGGTAAAACTTAGCTAAGCCCAAGGTAGTAGTAGATGGCTTCTCAAATATAACCGGTTAGGATTTTGTGTTGGAAAGGCACATACAGAAGCTTGAAAGGCAATCGTGTTGCCTTTCAAAGTTCAAATGTTCTTTTGTGTATCAATCAGCATTGGGGTGGATGAAAGAAAAAATATAATTTTTTGTTATTTATTATTTCTTATGATATTGCTTTGTTTACATATTGCAATACTTGATGATGATGATGACGACGATGACGACAACGACAACCACGATGATGATGATGATCAGCTTTCAGAAGCCTGTTCTACATATGATGGTCTTCAAGTGTTTCCAGCACAATTACTTTAAGCTTACAAGTAAAGCTTTCGAAACAACTAAGATATATATTCTAGAAAATCATTTGATCGATCAATTTCGTTATGTAAACTATGTTCAAATGTGTTTGTCTTATTCTATCCAATATACCTTTTTCCAATTAAGTTTTTTTGTGGCCGACGTCCAGCTTTATCTTTTCACAGTTTGTCTTTTGGGTGACTTCTTCTTCTTCTTTTTGCATCGTCTCTCTCTCTTCAATCTTTTAATTGAAAATGGAATGTTTAGATGACATAAGGTGCCAACAGGAGATAGAAAAGCGAAAAAAAATAAAAGACAAACCGGTTTAATGATAAAGCATGTATGGCATGAATGACAATGAGTCGAACACGCAAAAATGATCCGTCAGAAGGGGAGAGAGGGGAGAGGATAGTGTGGATAAGATGAAGCTTTAATGAGAGATTGACCGACTGTGTTGTTGAGTGATCTCTTCTAGTATTCAACCAATTGCTAATTGATAGTTAGATTAACCAATTGTCAAATGAATTTATTTTTTTTAATCATAAATATAATAATAATAAAACAAAAGTGAAGTCGATGCTGGAAATGGCGGCTATTGCAAGCTGCGACTAAAGAGATCGACAGCACAACTAAGTGACGGAAATGAAAGGATGAAGTGATAAGCTATGGTAATTTTCTCTCTTAATCGTTGAATTCACAAAGCTTTTCGACTAGCGATATAGTTATAGACAGTAACTAACTATACATAATATAAATTATAATGTTAACACAACCTTTCCGGGGGGAGGGGGGGGAGGGTATCAATTGAAAGCCATAATTATTATATAAAACGTAAAAATATAAATGTAATTATCATATATACTATTGATTGTGAAGATGATGATGAGGGTGATCGGAGCAATGAGCCTTCTACACGACGAGCACGACAATCGGATGCTGTAATGATATTGAATACTGAATGCTTAATCATGATCTGATAATTACCAGAACCAGCAACTGATTTTCCTTCTTCAATTAGTCGGCAGTATGATCCATGTATATCAACAACAATCCTATGTTCACCTTTTACTGATTTTTCTCCAATTTCCAATGCTTTTCTATCTAGTCGATTGTACTTCGGCCAGAATGAAGCTGGACTTCTGCAAAAAAAGGAAAGAAATGAAATGATTGAAATTGCATTTGCAAAGGAAATAAACACAACCGTTTACAACTAACTGGCAATTTAAAATGAAATTTCTGAGAATCACGTGGATAGCTCACGTGAAATGGATTGTGGATTGAAATGTTTATATGGAATGCAGTTCAACTAACCCTTTGGCAGTAAAATCAGTCCACAGATTCATTATAAACTGCGAAAAACTTTGCTCAACATTCAAACGATCCTTAAAACAAGAAACCGTCACATCACATTCTTTCATGTTCGCTTACGTGATCGTAAAGGTGTGAACGCCAGAAAGGTTGTCCAAACGCATACTCAATCTCATATCCATGCATGACACCCATCCATTTAGGCCATGGATTAGCGGATGATCTAAAGCTAGCTTTGAGAACATGAAATTCAAACTTAAATACCGAAATGTGAAATAGTACATGAAAACAGAACCATCTATTGTATCAGCTATTATATCAGCAAACTCAATTAAGCTACAAGTAAAGAAATGATCACCCAAGAAACGACCAACGCCATCACGTAGTTGCTCTCTGTAAACATGTGTACAATCTTTCCAGATAGTTCAGTATGATAAACATACGAGGGATCGGGACTTTCAGAAACATACTGATAAGCATTCATCAAGGCGTTCTTCACCAGTTGAGAGTTGCCAAAGTAAGGCATGAACGCTTCCATAGATTGCTTATACTGTTGTCTGAACAAGGCATAACATATGCTTCTAAGTATCCAGTCCTATGAGCAAACCTTGTTATAAGAGCTTTATTATGCGTATCATCAGCCGATATTGTATGATTAAATTTAAATCCAAATTGATTACTACTCATGTAGTATGGAAGCCAATATGTTCCTTCATCTCGGACAGTTCCCATTATGGCTGAGACATCTTTTTTGATGTCGCGTCGTCTCAAACGATCAAACACATCACCCTTCAATTCACATTAAGTCATATAGCTAGCTGTATAACAAGAAAATTACTTTGAAGAAATTCTTGTCTGAACTGATGGGCACGAAGGCAAACGTCATTGGCAAGCCGATGTCATAGCCGACTTGATCTGCTTCTTTCTATAATTAGTCTCATTCAGTTAACTTGTTACATGATGACTCAGTACCTGTAAAGCCGCATCTGACACAGCTTGTAGACAACGAATCATATTTGTTGTATTTGAATCAGTACAGTTAAGTCGTTTAGCTAGTCGTAACGATAACTCTTTCATGGCTTCTGGCGTTCGACTAGCCCAAGTATTGATAATTGATCCACTCTATAGATATACTCATTATAATATTATTATAATTATATATATTCTTACACTTGCTATGATTTTTTGGAAAAATGTATAACTGTCGGGTGCAGCTAGATGAGCCGTAACTGATGCAGAGCCAGCCGATTCACCGAACAAGGTAACTCGGTTAGGATCTCCACCAAAAGAATCTTAAACATCAATTAATTATATAATTATACATATAATTATATTAACCGATATGTAAATGTATCCATTTAAGAGCTATTTGTTGATCCAATAATCCCATATTTCCTGGAACTTTAGTGTCATCACCAAAATAAAGAAAACCAAATGGTCCCAAACTGTAATATAGATGGATGACGTCATTATATATAAAATAGAATTGTAATAACCGATAATTGATATTCACAACAATACTTCTTTTTTTAGCAGCTAAAACACGTCCATCGTAAAGTTCTAAAGATGGACTTCCACTGAAGAATCCTGAAAAAGAAAACAAAAAATGAAAAAAGTTTGCAAGACGACACAAAAGAAATGAAAATGTTGTTGTTGATGGTTGAAGAGTGTTGAAAGTAACATTCACCTCCGCCATATATCCATACAATGACGGAGCCATCATGATCTTCAGGGACCCAAATGTTCATATTGAGGCAATCTTCAGATATCGTCTATAACAGTACCATATGAATGAATTCATTCATTCTCTTCTCCCCCCTCTCTCTCTCTCTCTCTCTCTCTCTCTCTCTCTCTACTGTCTCCCAACATACATTGGGTGGATTCCACATCTCAGCTCCAGGAAATTGTGGGAAAAGATCATCTATAGTAAGATAGCAGGTTTTTGCTAATTTTTTTGCTTCAAATTCGCCTTAAAGTATACAAAGGTAATGATGTGGATGACGACTGAATGCTTCATACCTTTCCATGGTTCAATCATTTCTGGAAGAGCAAAACGTCGTGTACCGATTGGTGGATGAGCATATGGAACTCCAAGGAATGCATTAACCCGCTGTCCCTCAAACTCCTACAAGCATAACATGAAGCAGTGAAATATGAATAAAGAGAGAAAAAAAAAGTAATAAAGAAAGATAATGAACCTGTTTAATTCCATGTATAATTCCAAGTTTTGTTCGGATGATATGACTATGATCATCAATAGCAATATTTGAATTTAATGCTATACTACGAGATAATACAAAAGATATAATGGAAGAGAAAATGCTGATGAAGAGACGAGACGAAACATCACTCATGCCCTTGGATGGAAGATCGCATTCACCTAGAAGAAATTATATATTATATATACTTCTGTGTTATAATACTATATAACACATAATAAAAAAAAAGTTTAAAGAAGTTATATAACAAAATATTATTTTCAACATCATCATCATCATGCCATAGAATGATCATTCCTTAAGGAACTAGAATAACCAAAGTAAAATCAGAAATGAAAAAAAAAAAGAAAAAAAAACTGAAAAACTTGTTTAGACATTCAACGTCATCCGCATTCTGATGACTTTTGACGACATTTTTCCGACAAAAAAATGACAATTTTAGTGAAATGTTGCACCGGAAAGTATGTTTTACAAAACAATCTCTTACTCTCCCTCCCTCTCTACCTCTCTACCTCTCTCTTTCACCTTCACACTGCTTCTCCCTCTCTCTATGTGGCTATTCGGAAGATGGAATAGCAAACGTCTTTATGGAAATGAAATTTAAAAAAAAAAAAAAAGCAAAGAAGAAGGAAGAAATAGCCACATGATGGTGGCAGCATCAGCAGCACTGCAGCTCGCCTGTGGAAGGAAGAGGGGTGGGGGGATATTGAAGACAAATTATCGTAAATATTTAATGAGAAGCTAACATATAGAAATTAAGTAAGAAAATAGTTATTTTAAGCATAGATGTATAAGGAGAGAAGTCTAGAGGTGCTAAAAGAACAATGAATCTTCCGAATACACACATACACACACACACATCCTCCTTTTCTAACTCTTTTCATTCTCTCTATCTATCTCTTTCTCTCTCTCTCACTTTCTAATGTTAATGCTTCAGCTATTCCATCCATAGCTTTCTATCGACGTCAGTTCATCATATATGTGAACTTCTGTACATCTCATCTTCTTCATAAAATATGAGCTTATTTCCATTTGAATTTGTAGAATATTCAAATGAAATCATATTATTGAGCTATTAATGTAATTGATTTTGATGTCCTAAAAAGGTAAAATATTCGTTCAAACAACATATATTCAATACTTCTTACATCTTTTATATAGTTCTTCCTCGTTTTACTCGAGGAAATGAGAACTCTACTCCAAATACGCTCGAATAACTGATGTTCATGCTAGCCAAACGAAGAACAAAATTATTTTTCTCAGGAGTTTGGTAGAATCTTCTCTTCCTTCCTTCCCCCCCCCCATCTCTCTCTATCTATCTCTCTCCCTCTTTCTCTCTCTCTTTTACTCTCACTCTTACTTTCAGTTGGATGTCACTTGTATGTTTCGAATAAGTACTCAATTCAGATGCTTCCCTTAACAGATTACTATGAAAGGACAAGAAAGCTAAGAACAATCAAGTTCGAAGAACTCGAAATACGCAATTGACAAACTAAAAATGGCCACACTAAACGCATATTATATGAAATATGAAAACATGGGTAATGATTGAAGTTGTTTCACAAACTTCCTTGTAGAGAAATGAAAGAGAGAGAGTGAAAGAGGGAAAAAAAAGATTTTTTTTGCTTCAAAGCAACAAGAGATAGATTGAGAGAGAAAGAAAAAGAAAAAAAAAGTGTCATAAAACAAGAGCAACTACCCCCCCGTCCGCAGCTATGACCCAAGACGAAGAAAGTCTGGATAAGCTTGACTTCCAATTGCTTTCACACACACACAGAGAGAGAAAGAGTAAGTGTGTATGTGTGTGTGAGGGATGGAAAACAAGAAGAGATGGAATAAGAGAGAAAGAGAGAGGGAGAGAGGAAAATATAAAAAAGCTGAAGGTAAAATGACAATAAAAATGATTTGAAATGAGTCTTTCTTCACATGACATTGACTCAAAACACAAGATATATATAATTGCAAGCCGATATGCATATATCTTTAATAGATATTCATTAACTACATCACAACAACATTATAAAACAAAAGCTGTTTTAAAGATTTTTTCAATTAAATTCGCTAAACTATCTAAGTCTCAGGGAAAAGCTTTAATTTTCAGTTGTTTTAAAGCTTTTTGAAGCTTTGATGGATTTCGCCAATTGAACTCAATTATGCTGATGAAAAGCTTAAAATCGTTCTACCGGGTGTGGAAGAGAAGAGGGCAATGAGAATAGAGAAAGTTTGATTGTACATGTACAAAATATGAACTTATAATAAGAATAATTGAAGAGCATTGAAAAAGTTATTTAATGGAAGGAGGAAGTTGAAGAGAGGGAGCAGGAGGTGTTACCAATAGAAACAATACAACCGCTCTAACGTTTGTAAGCATATACTAAATGATAAATTACGTGAAATTACGTGAAACTAAAAGGCGCCAAAGAGAAAGTTTCAAGAGACAGTCAATACAGCAGGGTCATATAGTGATATGAGAACTAACCAACAGCCAGCATGATCGAACTGATAACAGAGACAGGAACATTAGCGTGACCAAAATAAGAAAAGACAATTGAGTGTCAAAGAAATATAAACGTAGACAATATTGGCTGTGATGGACTATTTGAAAAATGATTTTTTTTATTCACAAAATTATGGAGCAAAAACGAGACATGTTCATGTCCGAATGATGAGGAGAAAGAGAGAGAGAGAGGGAGAGAGAGAGCTGATGATGGCAATGATGTGAAGAAGGAGAATATAAGATGGACAAACTGAGCTGAGAAAAAAAAATGGAAAGATGAAAAAGATGATGATGGTGATGATGAAGAACGGAAGCAAAAAAAGAAGATGTAAAAGAAAATTTTTGTGAGAATAGAAGTCTCACAGCTTTTTCTCTCATTTCTTCAATATGTTAACTCACTCTCTGCTTACAAACGGCTGCCAAATTCGCGCAAATGTCCTGAGGGGATAACGTTAGGCTAAAGCATGTTGTGTCGACATTGAGAACAATTCAACATAAAAGACATTAAGTAAAGATTACTTCATCAGTCAATAATCTCTAAGACATTCATATTCTGTCATCATTTGTGATCATCTACATTCGTATTTGAAAATGTGTTGAAGCAAAAAATTGGCTATAACCATTTAATGAACTATATATTATTCATGAAAAACATTGAAGTTACATATTGAGTTAAGAAGTATTAGCTCACAAGTTAGAGGCAAGCTTCCAAAATAGTCATGTTGAGCTGACGATTGCCATTGCAATAATTCAACACCTCAACATCTTCAACTAGCAACGTTTCAGTAACAACACCATAGATGAGCACAAGCAACAATGACAAGAGGATGAAGCACAAAAAAAATTGCTGAAGAGCAAAAATGAATTCATCTATAACAAGATAGTATAACGAAATGTGATGTAGGATGTAGATAGACAGGGTGAGCCGAAAGATAGAAGAGGGGGGGGGAGGATCTTCATTACGAATGGTAGATGTTTTGAGCTTAATTTGCTTTTTGTTTGCAATCAAACTATAATACCGTTAACTATATCTATGAAAATGAACTGAAAGATGATAAAAGTTCAATTGAAGCTCTCAATTGTTCGATAAAATATTCGATGACATGTTGAAGAAACGAAATAAAACCCCAGAATGAAAAAAAAACCTCAAAGTGAAAGAATGAGAGTGAGAGAGAGATGAAGAGAGTAAGATGGGAAGTGAAGAGGTACCAGATGAAAAAGGTGAGAATATATGTTACAGACAATAGATGAACACGATGATATTTTACCCTGAAGACGTCATAATTTACTTCTCTAGTCATGTCTTCCCAATATGAATCTATTCGTTTCATTTTTGAACTAAACTAGGTCATGAAAACAAACTTTATGAGTTGTATTAGAATATTCAAATTAATCACGACGAACACACGTCAAGCTAGTGCATGTCTGATTTCATGTTACAACATGAATTCATTTCATTTTGATCTAAATAACGGTCAGACTCGGTTGATTTTGCACTTACTTCCAGAAATTACTCGAACAAACAGATGAACGAGCAAGAAGCTTAATACTTCATGTGACACATCACATACACAGAGAGATAGAGAAGAAGAAGATGAAGAAGAAAAAGATTTTTTTTGTTTAAAGAGAAAAAAAAAGTAATTTCTTATGAAAGATGAATCTTCCACAAGTTGACATATACCAAAGATGGAAGAAGTTGTCTTCAGCAACCCAACGACGTCAGATTGTCTGTTTGCTAAGAAAATGAACTGAAGTAGAAGAAAGGAAACAGAAAACAGAACTTGAGCTCAATCGACAGCTCCAAAAATGAATTTTTAATGAAAAGAAGTTATAACTAATGTCATGGAGCTGGAAAAAAAAGAAGGTAAACTATACATATATTTTGTTAGTGTAACAATAATATATTAAAGTATCCAACCTTGGATGCACGAACGAACAAGCTCATTGAGCTTCATCTTCTTTCCTCTTTCTCATTCATTTCCTTTCTCAAATGCTCAAATCTAAATCTTTCGTTGAACACTGCTGGAGGGCACATTGACTTTGCGAGGAGGGAAATAGCGCATTGTCGCCTCTAGCAGCTCTATGCAGACGTTCTATTAATGACAAAGCTAATAACATGAAAGGATGATTTTTACATCAAATACGTTATCGTATGAGCTTCATCATTTTCAATATATCAATCATATATATAGATATCTCTCTCTCTCTCTCTCTTTGTCTCTCTCTCTGACTCTCTCTCTCTTTCTCTCAGGTAAAATATAATTCCAAGAAGCTTTATTACCTAACTTTCTCTCTTTTTTTTTGCATAAAGGATTATGAAGTTTGTGAGACATATGTTTAGGCAGAAGAGAATCATCATTTCGTCCTCTCTGTCAATAAAGATTACCTCGTTATTGTTAAGAAGAAGTTGCTCCATCCGCAAAATAATGTTTTTGCAGAGGAAGAGAAAAAAAACTTAACGATGGCTATGATTAAAATGAAGTTTATTGTTTCAAACTTTAACCACAGACGACACACACACACACACACACGTAGATACACACACGCACATGTACAGAGAGATACACATACTCACTTGTTTTCTATTCTAAAGCTAGGCATAAGCCAACAGAATTGTTAAATAGACGACAAACAATGCTTTAGAGACGGTCATTTGCAATTCGACGTGAAATTCCAGAACCACAATTGGAAGAGTTGAGTAAAGACAATTTACTCAAAAAAAAACATCCAGATCTGTTAGTTTTGCTTTTAAACCCACTTTCTTAGCTTAGCTTCATTCATCGAAGCCAAATAGTATTTTTGCTTGAAATTGCATAAACTGTTCAGCCATCAGAATAGTTCTAATGACAATAGAATACGAAAAGTGTTGCTTAGTGCTCAGATTGTTCATTAAAACATCTTCAAAGTACATCGTTTATACATCTTCAAAGTTTTCTGACTCATCATCATTTGCATGGCAACGTTCAGAAATAAGAAAATGTTATGGAAAAGAATGAATCTCTTAGATTTTCCCATACAAACGTCATGCAAAAATAAGCTCAAATTATTTCCAAAAACAGCTTATATCATAGAGATTCACAATGTGCGAAAGAACGAATCGAACAAGGATTAGACTGAATCATCCTCCTTTCCTTCTCACCGCCTCCCCTCTCCCACCCAACCCAAATTGAATGCCATTCGGATAGATAAAGTTCACCTGCAGAATAATACTATTTCTCACACATTCTGTTGATGTTTCCGTCAGGAATAAACAAAGCAACAAGAAAGCAGAAATTATAGGGAAAATTCAAAAATAAAAAGTTCGAGAGAAAAGCTCATCCTGATGCCCCGGATGCGGGAATGCAAGTCAGGCTCCGGTCCCTTGGGATGAGCAGCCGAACACTCATCAGATACACGAGACGACACTGAAAACATTCGCCGGCTCACTCTCGGGGACTCCTCCTTCATCATCGACAACGAGGCCAAATGTGCATTTTGTTCCGTTTCAATAGAAAAAAAAGTCATAGCAGTGAAAGCACATGAGCTGATCGTCCACATTGGCTTACTAAGTCACATAATCATCATCATAACCGTCAAGTATCAGTTACTATGTGAGCATCATGTCAGTCGTTTGATGTCTTCAAACGTATATGAAGATCCACGGTTGAATGTGTGGAATGAAAGATACACTAGAAGATACAGACACTTCAGTAAAGAAAATTTTTTTTCTCTCTCGATATCCTGTCCAAACTAAGACTGATTACTTAAGAATTGAAGAGTTAGGCTATGAGCGTTGGAAACAAAAAAAGTTGGACAATGACAGTGTTTCTCTTTCTATGAGAACTAAAAAAAAACTTTTCTGATAAAACAAAATCAATCTGAAGTATTTTGTAATGCATCGACCTGACTTGCTACTTTAGAATAAACATTTTGCAGTAACAATAGAAACTGATGAAAACAATAAGAAAAACAAGGAACCATTACAAAATAATTTAAAAAAAAGAAAAGAAGAAGTAAGAGTTTGTTAAATTAATTGAATTGAAAAGAAAAGAGATACAACCGTCCAACATGTCCTGCAATTGAAAATGAAATGTGTCAGTAAGCAATTCAACTCATCTACACACACACACACACACACGCGCAAGCTATTTAGAAAACAGGTACATTGAGCAGTTTGATGAGAAATTTTCTTCAAATGAGGATCGTCTTCAGATTATTTTGCTTCTTATTCCAATGACAGCACATACTCGTTCACAGAACATTTCATCAAAAAGCTGTGTGTAGTAGCTGAAACAAAATAACAAATGGACTAGGTTGAGATCAAATGATGTCATTGGATTCATAGAATGAATGAGCTGCTAATTATCTGTTTCGTACTTGAAACAAAATAATGTGGAGACATGCAATATTCATAAAAGAAAAGAATGTCACGTGTAAGGGCTATGAATAGAAATTATTTGTTGGAAGCGATTTGTGCTTCAACTTTGTGAACAGGCATGCCATCATCTGAACTTTGCAAAAATTAGCTCAAGATTGTAAAACAAGCTAACAGAGAGGAAGGTAGTCAGCTAATTTATCATCCAGTACACGACATGTCAACACGACGTTTCATAAAGCCTCTGAACGCACTCGTCTTAAAACATAGAGCTGTGTGAGAAACAATAAAATGAGGAGATTGAGAGGAAAAGTGGAAAATGAGAGAAAATGATACAAAATGAAAAGTGGAAGGAATATATCAGAAGATGACAGGAATAAGAAATTTTGAAGAAGTGTCATGAAACTTGATATGATTTTCTACCTCAGGTGGTAAAACGCCAACTCTTGAGCATTATAAATGCATGACTACCATTAATTCGAGTTAATAGCTTGGACTTGATTTGGATGTTAGTTAACAAGTGATATTGAAGTTTATTTGGAACAATCTTTCTGCAATCCTTCAACATTTCTTAGGATTATTCACGTTTCATAAAGACGGTTAAACATCTATGGAATAGAGATGACGTTCACAATGAGGATCAGTTAAACACGACAAACATCTTCAAAAGAATCAGAAGAGACAAGAGATCTCTGAAGCGAAAACAATGTTGAATAGAACATTCACTTTCTTCCAAAAAAAACGATAAAGGGAACGTTTGCGCCTTATATCCATAGACCTGCTACGTTATATTGTTGAAGGGGTTTTACAAATCGCATTTCTTGAACTGTTTCCGAAGTTTTTGATAGAAAACTCCCGCTTCATCCATTACCTACAAATAATAAGAGCATTAAACTAATTTCTCGTTTACTTGTCTATCCAAATAAGGAATGGAACTAAATTGTCCGAACTTGTTTCCATTTTCATCAAATAGGAATTCTCTATAGCATTCATTGCAAAAAAACATGGGACTTTGAGGCAGTTGGTTACTCTCCTCAACTCTCCATCTAAAGGAATTTCAAATGTATTTATAAGTATTACTATTCTTAGAATAAGCTTACTCGGCAGTTTTCTTCCTACAGCCAGCACAACTCAAACATTTGGAGTTTCTTTTCACTAATTTGAAAGGGAAGGGACCAGCTACGTCAGAGAGAGATCTGAACAACTAACTCGGACAGCGATGATACACATACCTTAACCATAAGTCATTGAAACATAAAAGATGTTCGCATGTTCCCGAATGAACGAATACATAAGGCTGACCCAAGCGTGCTGTTATGTCTCTGATTCTGAAGAAAAAAATAACTTTCATAAACGTGATGGTCTACTTCGTTTCACTCATGCGGCTCAATTTCATCGGTCCGATGTTGCTTTTGCGTTTAGCCCACATTCTTATAGTTCTGAAAGCTGTGTTTAGAGATTCTGCATAGTAAACAAACTCTGTTAAATCGACAGCATTAGGTGTTATATCGTCAATATAGAAGGTATCGTGAATGAAGAAAAAAGAGGACGGGAACGAAAACTAGAAGCCAAAAATAGAAATTTAAGAACTTATAACATTACCAGGTTCATATCTGGGTGTTGGAAGCCCGTTGCATCTTCTTTCATAGAGAACATAAAATCCTGGGGACAACTCACGTATTGCCTCAGTTCATACAGCGTATTTTGTCCAGACAAGAGTATCTTATCGGTCACTTTGAGCTTGAACTGGCATTATATTGCGAAAAAAGAAAAACTTACAAGCCTGCCCATACGTATCTCATGTTTTCGTAATTCACGAGCATATCCAACAAATATGGAAACAGAAGTGATTAGATCATCCTAAACTTTTGATTGAGAATTTAGTTCCCTCAACAACTTATAGTTTCTTTCTCACTTTTCCCCAAAAAAGGTTATCGCTGCGCATTTCCTCTTCCGATAGAGCGAAATCAGATGGAGGACAGCTCTCTGCATTTGCATCGAAAGAATTTTTTTCATCTTAAAGTACAATTGATGTTTCATTCACAACAAACATGTGCTCACACTCTAATTTCACAGATGACGAAACAACATCATGTTGTTCGTAACAAAACGTCGGCTGATCTAGATCTAAACCAGATGTATACATGAACTAGAGCTTTCACTAAGAAAACAAGATGAATCGTTTCATCTGGCAGCATTAGAATCAGAACTTACCAGCATGTTTCTGAACATAGGTACTTGAGGGTTTGTAGGAGAAGAATTTCTCATCAACCATGTCATATTTCAATAATCGTAGCGATACAGACTTGTACTGTGTGTTCAACCGTTTGTGCCGCTCACTTTTCAAAATTCTTGAAAAAAAAATAAATGTTATACCAAGCATACCATTAACTATTACTTCAGAGTTTTAAGATTCACATTGGGAAAAGAGGAGATGGGAGCATCTAATTCGAATACCTCTCGCTCTTGTTTGTTCTTGTAATGGTTATTGAATTCTCTGAATTTTCTGTTAGCATCATTAAATATGAAGAACTTACTCAAGGCTTGACCAAATATTTTCTGCCGAGCAAAAGGAGGGCCTCACCAGTGTTTCAAATTTTTCCTGCAAATTCTTTTTTGAGTGTTTCTTCTGATTGGTCTGTTTCTCAAGCGATCTTCTAGCTTCAACACTTTCCACCAGGAAATTCCTGAAACTAATCATTCTCCAATTGCTGAGTATGCTTTCACCTCAATAATACAGGTTTGCTTACAAACAATTGCTTATCAGATTGAAAAACATCATCCAAACTCATTTGATTAGTTATTTTGCAAATACAACTGTTTTTCCGTGTGATGCACGAAATGGTCCCCACAGGAAAATTTGAATAATCTCACAAGGCGATAAATTTTATTGCATATGATACTTGGGTGTTGAAGGTTAATATTAACTGAGATCAGTATTTTAAAAGGTAACTCTACAATATTTCCTAAATAGGTAGTCCTAATAATCACTCTTGAACAACATTTATCACTTTCTCTTTGAGAAATGCCTTCCGTCCCTCGAAACTAGCATTAGGGAAACACTCGTGTAGAGTATTAATCATTTGTCTCATGCTTATCTGCAAATTTTTTAAAATTAAACGACTTCATCATTAGCAGATACCACAGTCAAATCAGCATCTTTCAGTAATTCTCGTATCATGCTCACTATCATTTCATCAGTGGGGTTCGAGTCATTGCAAATATTCTGGAAAAAAAGAATATCTCTTGATGGGTGTGCTGTACTTACTTTTCTCTTCTTAGAAGTTTGGTTTTTGCCCTTCGGGGTTTCCGAATTATTTCTCTTTGGTGTTTCAGAGATTTTCTCTTCAGCTGTTTGGGACCTCATTGAGGATTTACCTTTGTTTGTTTCAGGTTTAGGCGTAGATTTAGCCTTTGCTGTATCGTTCTTTCCCAATGTCTTTACTTTCAATGTTTCGGATTTTTGAGAGGATTTCACTCTAGTTGTTTCACTTTTCGGCGTTTGTTTAGTCTTGGTAGAATCGGATTTTTCAGGACTTGTTGACACGTTTTTTTTGTCTTTTGCTCGGCTTTTAAACTTTAGAACTACTTCCTCCCCTTTTTCATGCTCTTCGTCTGAGGTATATTCTTCTGTAGAATCATTACTCTCTGACTCCTAAATCAATGTTGAAAATTGTAAATTAAGAGAAAAAGTTTAACCTTTGCCGAGACCTTGGTCCTTTTTGCTTTTGGCTCGCTAGATGATTTCGGAGTTGTGTGTCTCTTCTTGTTGACATGAAACTTCTTCTCGTCAGGTTCACAGAGAAATGAAAGCAGCTCATCAATCTGAAAGTTCCTGATTAAAGGTACTTTTCAAACCAAGAACCAACCAGATCTTTTTTCACGCGAGACTTCATACCTAGCACTTGTTTCATCACTTTCAGATCAGCTTGGTTCAATCTATTCAGAAAATCGACTTTCTTTTGATAATCTTTACTTAAAGGGTCAAACGGAAACCTGGAACAATCCTTATTTAGTAGCTGAGCTCATGTTAACCCACCCATTGAATAAGCGTATTTCTCTCTTAATAAGATTCATTTTGGAAGTATATGTATAGAGTAATCTATGGAGAAGTTTCAATTGAAGGCTGTGAATCTTGTTAATGCTATTCTCAACTAGAAGAAACTCTATAGAAAACAAAATAATCAAGAAATTACTATGAGGGAAAGATCCTAAAGGTTTTCCTGATCCAAATCCTATAAGGGAAACTCGAGAAGGAGAGTTCGCAACAGGTGAGGCAAAGGATAGCCTTTCTACTTGAATTCTTTTTCTCTTACCCTCCATTATTATCGGTTCATCTAATACTCGAATTTTATAAAAATGAGTTTGGTTGGAGTTTCTCACCATTGCTTTCAGATACCTCATCTTCACTACCATCACTTTTTCTCTCGTTATCCGATTCATCTTCACCATTATCAGAGACTTTCTTCGACAAATCAGCGTCCTCCTCGTTTCCTTTCTCATCATCAGACTGTTTTGTCTCATCATCGTCCTCGATGTCCGTATTTTCCCCCTTATCGAGAGTTATCACTTCAACGGTCTCATTTTTTTCAACTATGATTGGGTTAGACACAGAGCTTTCTTTTCCATAGTCTTCATGTTGACTATCACTCCCTCCTGCCTTATCGGCAAAATCCTGAAACAACGCGACATAACATTTAACACATTGCCGCAAATACCTTCTCCTCTGTCATTGTTTTTTTTTGAATCACTCTAAAACAGGTTGCAATATTTGTGGTAAAAGAAAAAAAAAAGATATAAACCCCTTGGAAGGGATGAAACATCTTTGGCCGAGTGATATTATGACTTTTATAAAGTTCATGTTTAATAAATACAAACAAGGCTGACAAGGATAAAAAGGCGAAATGATATACCTGGTAGAAAGTCCGGATGCCTGCTAGCGACATTTAATAAAAATGAATAAATAGCATTAACATTATAAACTCACTGGGCTCAAAATAAAATAAATGATTAATCAACCGTTTTGGCACCTACAAAAACCAGACTCTGCTAACCCAAGCTATGCGCTGATATAAGAACATTTTAAACAATACAAACGGGGCTATTATATCCTAAAACGGCTCTATAGGGAGCAACCCCATCCACTAAGGAAGCTTTTCTTTTGATGACCACTCGATCCCACATTGACTTTTCCAGTCGGATTAGCAGATGATCCGTGGTTCCTTTCAGTTTTAGCTTTAATATCACGTGCAAGGGTGAAGAAAGCTTCTTCAACGTTGAAATTAGCTTTCGCAGAAGTTTCCATGAACTTTGTACCATATTCAATGGCTAACTGCAAGCCCTCACATATTAATAATAGGAAATTTACACAAAACCTGTTGTCCTCTGTCTCGAGACACCTGACGCCTATCTTCGATGTCACATTTGTTCCCGATAATCATTCTTTCTACATCTTGCGAAGCGTGTTCTTCGATATTCCGAATCCAATTTTTTATGTTCTCGAAGGATTTTTCATTGGTAATGTCATACACTAGCATTATACCCTATTGATTAACATAAAGAAAACATGGAAAAAAACAACACTTGCCATTGCTCCACGATAATATGCTGTTGTGATAGTACGGAAACGTTCCTGTCCAGCAGTATCCCTAAACAAGTACAATGGGATCAAAAAACAACACAAAACTGACCATATTTGCAGTTTAATTTTCTTTCCGTCTAATTCAATAGTTCTGATTTTGAAGTCAATGCCTTCAAACAAACATTAAAAACTTCTATGTTAGCTAAAAACCATTACCAATTGTGGATATAAACGAATTATTGAACGAATCATCAGAAAAACGAAAAAGGACGCAAGTTTTTCCTACTCCACTATCGCCAATTAGTAAAAGCTAAATTAGAAGCACAGAATAGGAAACATTATAATCTCAAACGAACCTTGAATAAATAATCGTATGTTTTAGCCATAATAACAAAGGTTGAATTTACAAACTGGGCGAAGTTGAGCTCAAAGTCCTGCGTTGAACAATTACCGAAACTGGAAAGAACAACTCAAACTACGTAACGTCATTGACATCAATGATTGGGCAAGCTCCGACATAGAACAAGGATTGTTTTCGAGGAAAGAAGTGACTAGCATTAATGTGCAGCAACTTCTTCCCAAAATCGATTCAGTATATTGGATAATTATAAATAGAATAGATAATTTAAAAGAAATAATTCAAACAGCGCGAACGTCTGTTCCGCATACGCGCTCACGTGAGTGTGCGCCCATTGCATACTGGTAGGCCCTATCGTTTGCCAATACTCGGCATGTTTTGTCTTGTTGGCGTCCAATATTTTGAAACAGAATAATTGATTTCTGCGATAAACTGCTGCAGAAACATTATTTCTTAATAGAAAAAAGCCTCAATAGATTGACGATTGATCATTCTGAACTATTGACATATCCTTCAATTTAATCAATAGACCTTATTCGTTCATTTCTTTATAATCCATGAAATACACACTTTAATCTATTTAGATCATGGGTATTGCTCCCAGTAAAGATAATGAAGAGTTAGTTGATACACTTGTTAAAGCTGGCCATATACAAAGTACACATATCGAGTTGGCATTCAGGTAATTCATGATAACATAACAATGCATTTACATTTATCCAAAAGGCTAGTCGATCGTGGTCGTTACGTTCCCGAAAAATATTTGAAAGAGATTTACGGTGATCAACCTTTTAAGGTTCTTAAACTTATATCAATGGATATGAAAAAAATTCTAACAGGTTCCTGAAAGCGATGCTGCATCTTGGACTCCCGGCTTTCTGCACATATCGGCTCCTTGTATGTACGCGTGCGTACTGGAAAAGCTGGATATCAGAAAAGGGCACGCTTTTCTCAATGTGGGTTCTGGATCCGGATGGTTGAATACAGCCTGTGGCTTTCTCGTCGGTGAGTTGATTAACCATTTCCGAGTTAGCTTGTTTTGTTGAAAACAGAGTAAACCTAAAAATTGTTCCTCTATGAACGTTTGTATAGTTAGGCTATCTTTCCGTTCCAGGTGAGAAAGGAGTTAATCATGGAGTAGAAATTCATAGCAACTTAGTTGAATATGCTGAGAATTTGATGAACACCTCAACCATTCAATCAGGTGCAGTAGCCGGATATGAATGGTGTAAACCCAAGTAGTTTTGTACTTGTTTTCCGTTGCCATAATCAGAATATTGAAGATTTATGCATAGCAACGGATTGACACTGAAAAATGCTGATGATTTTGAGGGTTATGATCGAATTTATTGTGGAGCGTCTATACGTGATCCTAACACTGTTTTCCGTCTTATGCGGCTCTTGAAAGTCGGTGGACGAATGGTTGCTCCTTATCATAGCGTGGTTTGTTGTTCTATCTGAAAAACGTTGAAGAGGGTTTTTAGTTGTTCTCGTTCTATCGTGTATCACAATCAACCATCCGAACCGAAAATATTACCACCTGTCAATTCGCAGACTTGCTTCTTCCTGAATCTGGAACTCCTCTTTCTGTATTATTCCCCTGCCAGAGGTAAAGATCAGGGCAATCATATTATCTCAGCACACATGTTCATTTAGGCCAACGCCGCTCAAAATCATATGTAGATACCACATTCGTAAAGAACTGAGGAGAAAAACTGATTGTTCTCATGACTTTGTGGTTACTCTAAAACTCGCGCGAGAAGAAAAAGAACAACAGTGAGTTCTCATCTATAGACAAATCTCAAATTCAATTCTTTTTTTTTAGGATATGGAGTTCCGATGACTTCCAGCATACAGCTTTTGTAGGGGACTCCTTTCATATTTTTTTTCATCCTACTCATTTCCAGGGCCCTCCCGAGAACTCTGCAGCCAATTTTCAAGCAGCGAACCCGAGGTCTGATGAAATGCACGATGATCATAAGTTTTTATTGCAGACTAGTGCCTAATTCATTCTTAACAGCAACAGAGCTATCAGGACGACCTTTTTCTACTTTTTTCCGGCCTGGCATGTGAGCAAGCAAGACAGTTCACCTGTTTCTACAAGTTTCTTTCAGTCATCCTGAAAATTCGGAAGTACCTGGTACAGAAGACTATCTAATACCTGTGGAAAATGAGGAACAGAAATCAATTTATATCGAATATCCTTTGAACATGGGGGAACCTGAGGAAGATGAAGCAGAAAACGCAAACGATATTGATTTTCATGGTCATCAACTAGACGATGAGACCTTTCTTGATGTTGGATACCTCTTGATTTAATTTTTTTGCTTTTTTTTTCAGAATATATTAGGCTTCGCGGCACGCCATATAGGCGTAGCAGGTCGCACCATAGCGAGTGAAGAAGAGCTACAAGAGCGTGAAGCAGAGGTTAAAAAAGTATATGCATACATTTTCAAATGATCTTTGGTTAAGGAAGAGGCAAGGCGAGTAGTTCAGTTCTCTAGAGTGACGCATGGCAGAGTTACTATCGAGCCACCAGTTGACGCTTCGCTCAACTTAATGGATGGGAGAACTCGTCGTTTCCGCTTTGTTCAAGATGGTACTCAGAACAATATATATGGAGTGCTGGACCCAAATTATCGGTCGTTTGATCATGCTGGTAACGGCACTCAAGCGCAACCGCGTTCAAGTCGGAGAAATTACGATGAAGCTAATGCTAGTACAGATACGGATGACCTCTCTGAAAGATCTTCCTCTCCGAAACGAGCTAGATGGGAGAACAAAGCAGATGATGGAGGCGAATCATTGGAAGTAATATATAAAGACATTTTTTCGTTGTTAATTCTAATCTTATAGCCTTTTGCTGATGAAGGGCCGGAGGAGAAGCCGACAAAATCGACTACGAATGAAAGGAGAAATGAGAGGAGAAGTGAAAGGATAAGTGAGAGGAGAGGTGAGAGGAGGAGTGAGAGGATAAGTGAAAGGATAAGTGAAAGGAGAAGCGAAAGAATAAGAGAAAGGATAAGTGAACGGAGAGTAGAGAGGAGAAGTGAGCGGAGAAATGAGAGGGATCGCTTCTGTGATTGCACAACAATAAGAGCGGCTGACGGTATGACTAACACATGAATATTATTTTATATGTCTTTTAGAACGAGAGATGAGCAGAATGTTGAACACTATTGAATCAGCAGAAGAGAAACGAGAAATTTTACTGAAAGGAATGAGACCCAGGTTCTACAGAGTCCCTGAAAATCTACTTAATGCATATGGAACAAGGTTCCATCAGTTGCTACGCACATTGCCTATACCCAAACATTTAAAAAACTTCGTACGACTACAGAAGTAAGTCAAGAAGGATAAAATTTAATCAATTACTGTAATAATAACACCTGTACATAGAATATCTTTTATTATTTGTACATAATTCAAATACTGTCCGATTGTGGACCCCCGCATAGTGCAAGCTTGTGGATTAAATGAGTCCTGTAAAAAATTAATAAATTTTTCTCGTTTTATATCTTGTCGCTTGCCTTAGGCACAAAGGGTCATTGTTGAAGAGAGCATGGAGATCCCGAATATTTACTCGTACAGTACGTGGCCTGACAATACTGCTCGATCCACTGCTGCCTACTTGATCCCATCTAGAAGAAAACATTATTCTCGGGATGAAGTATGATCTCTTACTTTGGTCGGGAAGACTTACTGCCGCTCAGAGCAGCTATAGCTGCAGCATTAGCATCGCGATTTTTTTTGGCTTCAGCATCAGCTCTTTGCATTTCCTGAAACACGAAGCTATATTAATAGAAATATATTCTACTGTACTTTGGCTCTCTCAATAGTATCTTTGGCGATTCCTTTTCCTTTGCTCATGCGAATTAAAGCTTCTTTTTCCCTAGTTTCTCTTTGTTCCTCCTGTTGCCTATCTACATCCTCTAAGAAACGCAACTGTCTTCGAGTATCATCAACTTGTCCATAGTTATTATTTAATCTATTGAATTTATAAAATTTTTTCTGATCTGTTGATAAATGCAACCTCAAAGGATCAACTCTATGTTCCGCTAGCACTGAAAGTTCTCCTAAAATCTCACGAAGCCTGTACTCAGTAGCATCCGAAATCAAGGTTAACACCTGAAGCCAAACAAAAAAATTAAGTTATAGATTATGTTCTCCGACCTCTTCTTCTACATAACAAGCTTCATTCATTCTTTGAGTTATCTTCTTCATAATATCCTCTGGTCGTAGTATAGATGCTTTGAGAGCGCTTTCTTGTAATTGGCGTACTTGGATAACCTAACGAATTAAATTATGATGAAAATCGTATGTATCTTTACTTCATCGTCTGCCTGCGGGATAGGCTCGTCATCCATATGCTCTACTCGTGGGTTTTGATGTAAATCTGGTACTTGCTGAGGAGTTTGTTGAGCAGCCTAATGATAGTATTAGAATGCTTAAGCGCGATAAAATAACATACTTGTGGGGGAGGTTGGTGAACTTGATGAACTTGTTGTGGAGGAACCTGTTGAATTTGAACATGTTGAACAGATTGTGGATGCATGTTTGGAGTTGATCTAGGAGTCTGATGCTGATAGAGTTGAGTTGGTCCTCGTGATACTGGAATTCCTGATACTGGAGTCGATACATGATGCATTGGATTATTGGGATTGTTTGGTATGAACCCAGCAGGAGGATTTATACCATCGATAACTACTTCGCCTATAATATGGACCCCTTATTCGAATGAAAACTTGAATCGAACCATTAGAAATCGCAGCCCTAAGTGTTGGAAGCGTGCGCTCAAGAAATGGTAGAAGATGAGGCTGAGCCTGAGATTGAAGAGCTTCTTGAAGCTTTCTCGTAAATTCTTCAGGAACCATATCTCCAAAAATTACATTCTGAATCAGTGTTGTGTAAGTTAAACAAGCGGGAAATTATGAAAAACTTACAGTTACTAATTCATTGACAGCGGCGGCAGTGTTCCGTCCACTTCCTTGCTGATCAGGTTGCTGTGAAAGACTGATAAGCGTTCGGAAGAATCTGACACACTTTGTGATGACTTCATCTCCTTGTTCCGGCGTTGTACTCGGAGCTGTAATAAAAAGTTTAGAAAATAGGATAGAAGTTCACAAAATACCTCTAGTCCTCATGGTTACATGATGATTAACTGGAGTAGAAGGCACGACATGTACTGAATTGCCCTGTGTAACCGGTGTGGTTTGCTGAAAAAAAAATTATTTCCAAAAACAATCTATCTGTTACCATAGAAGGAGGACGAAGATCAGGAGTTCTCATGTCTGAAAGATGAGGTGATTGAGAAACTGGAGTTCTATCAATACGCCCTGCAGGTACCAATCTGAATCTGGGCGTATTCATGGATGGTGGAGGTCCTCCGTCTCCCATTCTACAAAAAATATTATTCGGGAGTGATGATCAACATTTTTAATAAAGCAGTAAGTATATAGAGTCATAGACAGGATACTCTAAACATCAAGCGAAAACAAGAAAAGCGGCATTAGAAGGCTTTGGAAAGATATGATTAACACATTTTGCTA